TGCGAGGAGGTCTTGCCCCATGCCTCTGGCGGTCCCTTTCTTCTCTGAGTTTGCCAATGCTACCAATCCGTCGACCATGTTCTTGATAGCGTCGATGTCAGAGGGTGGGGGGGAACGAGGAGGTGTCGGGGGGCCGCTTGAGTGCCGTGACTGGGCCGGTCCTCCTCCTCTCCCTTCAGTTGGAGGGGTGGGGGCGGTCATCCTGTCCCATGCAAAGGCTCGAGGGCTCAGGGGTTCAGGGGCTCAGGGGCACTAGGGCGTGGTCGCCTGGGCAACTGTGGGTGGGAGTCAGGTGACCTGTTGGTCCGTGCGCTGGTGAGAGTTTTTCGGGATGTCCGCAGCACCTCGAATCGCCCTACTTTCCACACCCACCGCGGCCTCGCAGCAAAGTGCGCGGGCGTGCAGTCGGCGTAGTTAGATAAGGTTTTCTCAGAGCTTTCGAAAGGCGCCGGTTTTGAAGACTTTACGCAAGTAGTCAAGAATCGGCTTCCTGTTTCGGGGCCGCGCGCAAATTTCGTTGCTACAACCAGCATATTAGCATCGGCAGGACCACCCGACAGAAGGATGCACCCCGATTCAAGGTCCAGAAGAAGAGGACATCGGACTGTCAGTGGGAACGAGAGAGCAGGCAATGGCTCCAAGAGTGTCAGGCGCTGGCCGCAGATGACATAGAGTCCGAGAGAGACGCCTCTCTAGCACCCAGGACGGAGTTGGGAAACGGCTCCGGGCCCTCCAAAGGGCCCGTCGACGCTTAACGCCACAACAAAAGCGACAAGCCGCGCAGTGCAGAAAGAACTGGCGCAGACAACAGGCTTATTATGACCTCCCAGCAGGCGAGCGCGACGTAGCTGCTGTTCAGGACGAACGACCAGACAACAGACTCTGGGTCACCGCGCGATGGAAGGGATTCCAAGCACTGGCGTTAGTGGACGGAGGGTCGTAGCTCGACCTTATCTCTCCAGTATTCGTCAATCAACTACGAATTCCATGGAAGTTCAAGAAGGAATCATACATTGTCAAAGGACCGTTCAAGACACAATGGGTTCGACGAGAGACTGAACCACTCGACATCAAGGTGCAAGGGAAAACCACCCAAGTGGTGTTCGACATCGTGGACATGGGGCCGAAGAAAGACATGATTCTTGGACGCCCATGGCACGAGGATTACGACCCTGACATCAGTTGGAAGGGAGGTGGCCACCTACGGCCGAGAGACACTCCGTCGTAGAAGAGGAGCCACGTATGGGCGGTACGCACAACGACGCGTTGCCCACGGGCCCACCGCAGGAAGCGAGCAGTGGCAGGAAGACCACGACGCAATCCGGAAGAAGCGGCAAACGACATGGTATCCTTCTCTTTATCCTTTATACCTTCCATACCAGACTCAGCATCTGATTTTGAACACGGCGCAGCGGGTGCTCAAGGAGTGCTGCTTCGAATTCGCCAAGGCTTCGATGCCGTTAGTCCTTGAGAAGAAATGGGACTGTCCGACCGTGGTGGAGCTGACGCAGTGGACAAAGATATTCCGTAAGAACAAAAAGATGAACATCCAGAAGACGGAACTCGATGCTGGCGGATTTCTGGGCCTACCCACAATGGTGTCCAGCCTGCGGCATACCGCCGTCCACCGTCTGGCTACTACGGCAAGGGATGTCGGGCGACTTCTCGAATCCGGCGTGAAGCTCGCACTAGTGCTCGGGGACAACGTGCGTGCTACGCAATTGGGAGTCTGCGTTCTGACGTCAACGGCCAATCGAGGCTATGGAGCTTAACAAGAACGTCCTCGAAGATACTACCGCCTTTCGCCTCCGCGAGATTCAGGAGAAGCGCGAAGAGCTAGACAGAATGGAGGCTGAACAGATACGGAAGATGTTGAATGACGACGTGAACAATAAGCTCCTAATCGGGCAGCAGCTTGAGAATTCTGTGCGCGCCATCTTCGACCGGAAGAAGGATGGGCCGGATCAAGGGAAGAAGGAAGACGATGAGGATAGCGGCGGGGGCGGCGGCATAGGCTGTGATACCGATGGCGACAGAGAAAAGGAAGGTGAAAAAGAAAAGGGGGACCTCAAAGACAACTTGCTTTTCCCAAGCTCAAGCAGACTGAGACGCGGCTGCGCAGGGAGAGGAACGAGGCGCGGTTGGCGGCAGTTCTTATGAAGGGAGGCGGCAGCGGGAAGGCGGCGGGGGGTGGTGGGTTCCGGGGGTCCGGAGCTGCTTCCGGTGGTGGTGGTGGTGTCGGTGGAATGGGGGCTGGACCTGGGTTGGGGAGTGCTAGTGCTGGTGCGGGTGTGGTTATGAGCGGGCTGCAGGGTGAGAGTCAAGGGGAGGAGCCTGGGGGATCACCTGAGGTTGGGATTATGATGGATCAGGGTTGATTTCATTCGTTGGAATCGGTGGTTGTAATGAAAAAAAGAGGGTGCATGGGAGATTGACACCAATGACAGTGTTTGGGGGAGGGTGATACCAGGCTTCTAGGGGTTTTGGGTTTTGGGTTTTGGTTTGGTGTATTCTGCTGGGGTTTTCTAGGTTTCCTGTCTGGTCTGAAAACGAGGTTGCTGTAGGATTCCTGGCTTCTCTTAATAATTCTCTCCTTCCTGTTCTTGTCTAAGTCTGGTGCCAAACGGGAACTTGGAAGGCAAATCAAGGTCATACTGGCAAGGCTCATATATCGTTTCAAGCAGTCGTGAAATCCAAAAGAAGGATAACTTGAAGTGGATGAATGTTGATATTCAAACGCTCCGTCTCCGATGAGTGAGTGTCCATTGAAACGTGACCAACTCGAAACGTAAAGACCCTCCAAACCCCTCACAACCGACGGAGCAGACAAGCCGTATCCGCCAAGCAGAGCTGCGGAGGCTCAATAGAAACGGCCTTAATCGCAGACACAGCGGTTGTAGTTGTCGCAATGGCCGCTCTTTTGCATACCACCCTCGCAGAGAGAGTTGCAGACTAGTTCGCCGGCAGGGCCATGGCAGGGGTTCTCCTCTGCCAAGGCCAACGGTGCGCTGGCGATCAGGGCGGCCAGGATGGTGCTGAGGATGAAACGCATCTTGAGGTTCAAGTGCTCAGGTTCTGCTATTACGGCGTTGGTCATTGTACATTCTTGAGTGTTCAAGGAAGGAGGTGCCGGAGGGGAGGCGTACAGGAAGTTCAATTGCTTAGAACAAAGCTGTAGGTGTGAAGTAGGTTTATAGGTTGAGTGCAGGTTGAGAGTTTAATGTGAGAGTTAGTGTGTTGCTAGGTTTGATTGGACTTAGGCGCTCTATTTATGCTAGATTCGCTATTAGTACGGATACCTAAGGTAAGGCTAAATGTAGTAAGGAGGTAAGGTGGTTCTGGTTGAGCATCTAGTTCAAACCCTGTTTCTTCGTAACATGACGTAGAGGAATCTTTCTATAACCAGCCAAGTTCGGTATAAGATCGCTGTCTCGGTGCTTGATTCGTTCCACATGACACGTATTGTCCTATCCTCTCTTGGGCCTGGAAGAGCTTCGAAACTGTCATGCTGTCTCAGTTTCTGCAGCAAGTCTCGGTCAGTTCCGGGCTAGGGGTCGATCAATTCCTAGTCGAGAGTCGGTCAATTCAAGATCAAATGGCGAGAGTCAATCACATCTGGCCGTATTGTTCCAAAAGTCTTTGCTAAGTGTCTTACCTAGATGTGAGTCTCGCAACGCCTTCCAGTGATAACAAGGCTTCTCCTGTCACGGCGGGACAGGCGGACAATCCAATGACAATCGTATTCGGGCTAAACTATAGTCTAAGCTCTATTCCGTCAGGTACGGGCAGGCTTGATTGTCAAGACGTAGCTCGAGGAGTTACGAACAGATGGATGGATGGAATTTATTTCGCCCGGAGGCGCGAAGCCTAAAGGGCCTTGACACGCTAACTACATCCAATTCCTTGACGTTCAACCATCAACTCGTACAAGCCCTCTACTCTCTCCCCTTTTCTCACGCCATCTGTTGCCTCCTGACTTAGTTTAGCAGATCGACTTGGAGGCTGCGTTCTCCAAGTGTTCAGCGTCCTATCTTCAGCAGCTAAAGCGGGATCTGCTGGCTGAGGCTGTGTAGTGTTAGTGGAGTTCCGCTACTGTGATTGTCCCAATCTTCGTTGTTCCTCGTCAAGATCCAATCTCCCTGTCGCCATTGCGTACTTGATCGTTGCCCGGACTGCTTTCATGTCTGGCGACCACATCTTCTCGCGGCAGCGAGGTGCAGAATATTTAACCCACAGGGGCCCGTGCTTTCCACATGCCGGGTTCCACCCGTGGGTCCTAGCAGACACGGCGCAATCGCCGTGACATCTCCTCGGCTTCTAAATCCGTCCGGGACGTGTCACGGGTGGGCGCAACTGACCACTGCGTAACACCCTCAAAAGAGGGACCGTGGTTCGAACTGTCTAGTCGAACCAGGAGTTGCGCACATGAACCTCACACTGTCACTACCCGTGACAGGACGGGTTGCTCATATTAGCTAACCAGAGATATATACGGCAACGAACAGACGTATAACGTTAGCTCCCTAAACTCATTCTGTAGTTTCATAGACTATGGAAGGGTATAGTGAGATTGCTCCAACATTCTTTTTCGTAACGCGCAGTTATATCATACGTCGAGCGTATATGCAATTTAAGGCGTGCCTGGTGGTAATCTAGGCTGAGTACTCCTGATTATCCCTGCGGGCTAATAACAACTCGTACTGTGTACGTCAGGACAGACGGGCAAGCAGAGAAGTAACCGTCATCAAGATCGATGATCATGGAACACTCGAATTCCAGGAATGGGTCACTGGATTCGAAGCGGCATTCATCACAGCCGGAAGCGACAAGTTCTCGTACTATGAAGGTGCGAAGAAAGACGACAGGACAGGGCAGATCCCGGACGAGTACCGAGGACACCCAGATTCGAGGCAAAGCATATGGAAGGGCTGCCAGATCGTGGACCTTGGGACCACGAGATCAAGCTCAAAGAGGGCGCCTAGTTGAAATTCTTCAAGGTGTACCACGCCAACGGGAAGCAAGACGCGGAGTTACCAAGGTATCTCGAGGAAAACCTCCAACGAGGACATATTCGACCTTCGACATCGCCAGCAGGCTACCTAGTTCTTTTCGTTCCAAAGAAGGACGGGAAGCTACGAATGTGCGTGGACTACCGGCAGCTGAACGATCAGACGGTGAAAAATTGGTACCCATTGCCTTTAATCTCCAGACTTCGGGATCAACTGGCAGGAGCACAGTGGTTCACACGTCTCGATCTACCCACGGCATACGCACACATCAGAATCAAGGAAGGCGATGAGTGGAAGACAGCGTTCAGGACACCTTACGGGCACTACGAGTACCTCGTTATGCCGTTCGGGTTGACCAACGCACCAGCGACATTTCATGCAGTTGTTGATCACACAATTAGACCATTCCTCGACAGATTTGCAGTCTGTTACCTCGACGACATCCTCATCTTCTCAGAAACGCTCGAAGAACACAAGCGACACGTGAAGCAGGTGCTCGACGCACTGCACAACCAGAAGCTCTCAGTCAACAAAGACAAGAGCGAGTTCCACGTCAGAAAGACAGTCTTCCTAGGCTTCGAAATTTCGCCAGGAGAGATACGAATGGAACCTACGAAAATTGAGGCCATCAAGACTTGGCCAAGGCCGGAAAATACCACAGAGGTCCGAGGATTCATCGGATTTGCCAACTTCTATCGAATGTTCATTAAGAACTTCGGCGACATCGCACGACCTCTGCACGACCTGACGAAGAAGGACATTGAATTCCAGTGGAAGGAAGCTCACGAGCAAGCATTCCAGCGGATCCGCGACGCAATCGCCGTAGATCCAGTACTCGTGCTGCCAGATCCAAGGAAGCCATTTGAGGTCGGAACCGACGCGTCGGATTACGCGGTCGGCGGACAACTCAGTCAGAGACGAGAATAGCAAGCTACATCCAGTTGCGTTCTTCTCCAAGAAGCTTGCAGGGCTATAGCTCAATACCCGATCCACGACAAGAAGCTGTTAGCCATCATCGAAGCTTTCAAGGAATGGAGACCCTACCTCAGCGGCACAACACACCCGGTTCAGGTGTACACGGATCATAAGAACCTTCGATACTTCACCTCTACCAAGGAGCTGAACGGATGACAGACTCGATGGTCCGAGTTCCTATCAGAATTCAACTTCGTTATTCACTACAAGAAAGGCTCAGAAAACGCGCGAGCAGACGCGTTGAGCAGACGGCCAGATCACTTCGGAAAAAACGCCGAAGAATCACCACCTCTACTCTTAGAGCAGCAGGACGGGTCACTTCGACACGCTCCCCAACCGGTGGGAGATTGCGACGACGCTACGCTTCCCCAACCGCGAGAAGATCTCGAGACGCAGAGCCACGCCTCCAAACCGTAGAGCAGCCGTTACGACGAGAGCAGCTCTCAACCGTGTGAGGATCGCCGCGTGGACACCCTATACGCTCGGGAGAAATTGGGCAGTCTTCGCGGAGCAGCGGCCAGAGGCGGCCGACTACACGACAAAGGACGAGCAAGAGAGACTCATCAAAATGATCCACGAGTCAAAACTCGGAGGACACATGGGAATCGCCAAGACCATTGCGAAGGTCAGACAGAACTACGACTTCCCGGGATTACGCAAAAGAGTCAAGGACGTTGTCAGCAATTGCGACCTCTGCAACCGAAGCAAGTCGGCGTGACACAAACCATACGGACTCTTGCAACCATTGCCAATTGCGGAACGACCATGGAGCTCGGTGACGATGGACTTTATCACTAAGCTACCGCTCTCGATAGACACAGCGACAGGATTGAAGTACGACAGCATACTCACTGTGGTCGACCGACTCACCAAGTGGGCATACTTCATCCAGTACAAAGAGGCGTGGTCAGCAGAGCAGCTCGCAGACGTGGTCTATCGGTACATCGCCTCAATCCATGCATGGCCGGAAGAATGGATCACGGACCGCGACACGAAGTTCGTCTCGAAGTTCTGGCAGGCGTTGATGACACGCCTGGGAACGAAAAGCAAGCTTTCGACATCCTACCACCCACGAACGGATGGACAGACAGAACGGCTCAACGAGATCGTGGAACAGTACCTCCGATCTTACGTCAACTACCAGCAAGACGACTGGGTCATGTTGTTGCCAGCAGCGCAGCTTGCATACAACACGACGCCAACCGAGACCACGAAGGTATCACCGTTCTTTGCGAACTACGGCTATGAAGCAGATTTGCGCCAGGGACCCGAAGGATCAGTTCCTAGAGCGAAGGTCAAAGCAGACCAGATGCATACGCTGCACGCAATGCTCAAGGAAGAACTCGAGTTTGTCAGAGACAGGATGAAGAAATATTACGACAAACATAGGCTCGAGGGACCTCGCTTAGAGAGGGGAGACAAGGTCTATCTCATTTCACGAAATCTTCGAACAAAACGACCAAGCAGGAAGCTGGACTTCAAGAAGATTGGACCATTCAAGGTCGACGAACGGATTTCGACATCCAACTACCGACTGTCATTACCAGCCACGATGAGGCTCAGGACGAACGTTTTCCATATTTCACTTTTAGAACCAGCACCCAAAAACGCACGACTCGCGCAACACGAAGAGGCCGAAGACGAAGAGGAAGGATGGGACGTCGAAGAAATCCTGGATTCACGCATTACGAAGGGGGGACTCGAGTATCTCGTCAAATGGCTCGACTTTGGACCCGAAGAGAACTCATGGCAACCAGCTACGAACCTCCACTGCCCTGAGAAACTGGCGGAGTTTCACCAGAGGAACCCTGACCGGCCGAAGGACCCCCGGACTGCAAAAACGCGTCGAAATCGAAGGACCCCAAGTCGACACCGGGACCAGCCGAGTTATAAGGGACAACACCACTGAACTCCCAGTCCACTACACCGGACGCACCCAAGGCTTGCGCCTGACCAACCAAGGATTGTTCCACCGACATTGGAGGATCCGGCTCCGCCTCCTCCTCCTCCTCCAGACCCACCATCCCACGACGGAAAGTCTCGGCACCGCGTTCGCGCAAAGAACGTTGGTGTGAACGCAGTCGAGAGAGACGACTTAGTGTCTCGGCCAAGACCCTTTCTGTTTCTTCGATATCCCTCGCTACCTTTTCCTGTTCCGACAGATTGGACAACACTACCATACGTCAGCTCAACAGTAGACGGGGCGCAGCGTAATACCTACGAGCGTCGGCCACGTTAGGGCCGCTACACTGCTTGCCTGCCCGAACGCAATTCGAGCACTTGTTCGACCCAACCATCATGACACAACGCCTCTGAGGCTTCGCATTCCAACAGCGTTCGCAGGGCATGCTGACTTCGAAACCTTGCCGGTCAATTTTCGTGGCAAGAGCGCGACGTTCGCGTTGCAAGTCGCGGCGACCGCTGCCTTGACAGTCAGCCATGCGAACAGCGCGACGACGACGAAGGAAGGAAGACCTACGACACAGGCACAGGGGATGTTGGCACTAAGTATGGACTGGCGACAACCTGGGTCTTTCGGGACGTGAGACGTCGAGGAGGGGCATCGTGTTATGAACCAACCATATGTACAGGCCCAGTGGGGCACAAGACAGAACCCCAGAGCCAATCGTTCCCCTAAGGAAGTGCAGGAACCGCACGAGCCCACACGGTAGCCGTGGGGGCCGGGCGATCAAGGGTAGACTTGGGTAGCTGGCTACCCAAGGCGATCAAGGATAGCTCTTGGTAGACTGCGATCATAGGCAATCATGAACGCTCTACCAAGTATATAGTCACTCGTTTTAGAGAACTCTGGGAGTTCTCCAGTGCAACTCAAGTGCAAGATTGTCGGTACCTTTGGACATTGCTTGTTGTAAACCCTTTGGCTTCACCGAACCTCACCCCGTTATCAAATTAAACCTTCAGGAGTCCCCTTCAGACGTTGGGGTTTCGGGATTCGCCACAACAAGCAAATGTCTCAACAGTAGGTGTAGCTAACTGCTTGTATTGCTTACTGAGGAAGCTACCGTGATGCCCGTAGTCTTAAAGATCGTAGACTATATACAGCTTCCTCCCCCAGGTACCTCCGTACCTGCGATCACTGCGATCACCTTTCTTGGCGGTGATCTTGGTGAGCCGCTCACCGCGCTCACTTCATTGGCGGTGATCCTTCTTGCAGGCCCCATCTCAGCTTTCCCCTGGTGTTATGCCTCTTCATTGGCTTCCGCCGCCCCACCAGGCCTCGATATATGATTGGTTCGTGACAACTGTGCTCGACCGTCGAGCACAGCGAGCACTCGAAGAATCGTGTCAGTATATAGTCACTCGTTCTGGAGGACTCTGGGAGTTCTCCAGTAAGCAACTTAAGTGCAAGATTGTCAGTTCCCTTGGACATTGCTTGTTGTGAACCCTTTGGCTTCACCGAACCTCACCTCGTTGTCAAGTATAACCTTCAGGAGTCCCTTTCAGAAGTTGGGGCTTCGAGGTTCGTCACAGAGCACTATACCACTAAGTTCTCTATAGTCTCTCCACCTTTGCTACACTCGCAGTAGGGGGTATGGAACTCTAGACCTTGACCTTAAATAGGTAGTCCCGTAGGCCTATATCCCCTATAAAAGCCTGGGAAAGGAGGGTACAGTGGGGTTTCAAAAGTATCCGGCTACCCCACATTAATTTGACGCGGTCGCGTCTCGCGTCCCGCTCTTCCTAACTTTCGAACCACCACAGTTCGACATCATGAAGCTCAATTTGGCTGATTTCGTTGCCACTTAACTGCCGGTCGTGGGAGGTTATAGGAGCTATTTCCAGGGGCACGTGCAATTATCTGCATCCTCCTTGCAGCTAACCAAAGCGAACGCGCCGTCGCCCAGCTCTTTCGCGTCTCCCGAGGTACTTTCGCCCATTGTATTGAGCACTGGAAAAGTCACCAAATATTTGAAGCCCAGCCTCATACCGGCCGTCCTCCGGCCCTGACTCGAAGGGAGAAGCGATATATCATTTTGCTCGTCGAAAAGAACTGATCCCTCGCAAAGAAAGCGCTTGTCAACGTAACTGGTAAGCAAGTCTCCTACTTAACGATCCGTCGTTATCTCCGAGTATACAACCTTCGCAAATGGAAGTTTCTTAGAAGGATTTCTTTGACGAAAGACGTAGTAAAGGGTAGGTATCACTTTACATGCAATTGGCTTGAAAACATCGAAGCGTTACTCCAAGTAAGTTATATCAAACCTATCTCTCATTTTTTTATCCCGCTGACCGACTTAGACGATGTTCTCGGACAAGTATTCTTGCCAAATAATACCTCAAATCCCACCGCCTAGCACTTCCGTTTTCCTTCCCAGAAATATGCCAAGCGTTTCGTCAACCTTAAGAACCATGTTGTTGGAAGACCAACAGCCATGATTCCACGGTGTTACAGCGACGAGAGGTCAAGACAGTGGGTGAGTGCTCCAGAGCACCAAGTGACTGTTTATTGAAGGTCCTTGATCCTCCTTTTTCCAGTGGTAGGCATCGTCCTGATCCTGTTAAATTAGTTTGTTCCCAGCCCCTGTTGCTCCTCAACGCTAGAGCATGGGCAACCTAGCTTCCGAGTTCAAGTTCCATGACTTCCAGCAACAAGCGTTTTAGGGTAACGTACCGCGACTTTCCAACACGTCTCAACAGTGTTGGCAGAAGGAATACATTTCCGTATTCCGTGCCTAATACCGACGAGGCTCGGGGGCTCCCAGCTCTTCCAACGGATCCGTCGGATTGCTACTCTCGTGATATTTTCTCAAACTGGGGCCCCACTCCCAGATCAGGAAGCTCCTGCTGGGTACACCCATTGACAGACAGAACTAATTTGTCCTGGCTCTGTGCCAATACCTTTTCATAACTGGTTCAGCTTTGATCTTCGAACCCGTCTCTCAGGTCCTCACTACCTAGAGTACCTAAAGTAAATGCACTATGCACCTGTTCAAGTTGGGTCCATTGTGGTGTCCGCTCTCAATTATGCTACAGACCATTTCCAGGGAGCTGAGCTGCATGTTCACAGCTGAACTCAATCAATGAACACTCCAGTGGATGGCGCGGCGGTGAGGCAGATATCTCACGGCGCAAGCTCAATGGGCATTTACATCACAAACCCACTTTCTTTGGCAACACTTTTCATCACTAGTTCAGAAATAGGACAGGATCGCCGACGTGGGCATCGACGCCGGCTTCCTCGGTCCGCGATGGAGTAAGGCAACGCCGCGTGGGTGGAGATGGGTACGGGTAAGACAAGAGCATATAATCTCAGTTCGACGGCGTCTGTGCTCTCACCATGGTCCAGGTCGCGTCATCACCACCAGTTGTCTTCGGCTTCTGCTCGTCCCTACACCTCGGACATGGCGCACCTTCTTGAGCACACTCAGCTCTGGTTGAGTTTTGTGCTAGCCGTTCTTCTCTCATACGCCTTCGCGTCTCCTCTGAGTTCAGCCGCTCCTGTCAACAAAAGCCACGGGCATAAGACCTTCGACCTCACAATAACGTGGGAAATCTACGCCCCCGATGGCTGGTCGCGAGAGATGATACTTGTGAACGGCCAATCCCCGGGGCCCACCATTGAAGTGGACCAAGGTGACGAGGTTGAGGTTCGGGTGCACAACAAGATGCCTCTCAATGCCACAGTGCACTTCCATGGCATTGAGATGCACCTGACTCCCTGGTCGGACGGCGTGCCTGGCGTGACTCAGCGCCACATCCAGCCGGGAAACTCATTCAATTACAAGTGGACGGCAACCCAGTATGGCAGCTACTGGTACCATGGCCACCAGTCTGGCCAGCTCGACGACGGCCTGTACGGGGCCATCATCATCCGCCCCGGCAAGGATCAGCCAACGCCCTTCAGCCTGATTACTACCGACAAAAACGCTCTGAAGGCTATTGAGAGGGCGGCTGCGGGCTCCCAGCCCCTGATGGTGTTCGACTTCCGACACATGCCGTCTCAGGATATCGCCGTCATCACCAAAGCCGCGGGCATCGAGCTGCCCTGCTACGACTCACTCTTGTTCAACGGCAAGGGGAGCGTTGACTGCTGGTCACCGGAGTACATCGCCTTCGTCTTAACGTCGGATCAGAAGACATACCTGGGGCTGGGCAACGCTACCAGCTTCACCGCCAAGGGGTGCCTCCCGGGCAAGGTCATTGCGGATGTTATTGCTGCTGGGTACCCAACCAACCTATCGGCTGTCCCCTCTGACATCTTTGACACGTGCACCCCGAGTAACGGCACCAAAGAGGTCATCACCGTGACGAAGAAGCCCGGGGATCACGAGAAGTGGGTTGCGCTGGACGTCATCGGGACCTTCGGCCTCGTGACCGTGTCCTTCTCGATCGACGGACTGTCCATGTACATCTACGCCGTGGATGGCGAGTACATCAAACCGCAACTCGTCGAGGCCATCACCGTGACTAACGGCGACCGCTACTCAGTGCTTGTCCGTTTGACCGAAGCCCAGCCAGGCGACTACCCTATCCGGATAGCGTCCGTCGCCACGGCGCAGCTCCTCGCGGCATCGGCGACGCTGTCTTACCACGTCGAAACAAGAGGCGACGCTCAGAACATCCCAAGTCCCACCCGCTACATCCAGGACAACGGCCTCCCGACTTCCTCCTCAGTAACCTGTCGGAACGAAGCCGCCTTGATGGCTGCATTCAACGGACCTCGGTGGTTGATTGGTGCCAGCACTGCAACCCCTTCCTTACATACTTAGTCCTCTCCCATGCCCATCAACAGCATGGTCAATCAATCACTTTTACCACCTTAAAAATTCAATCCACTGCTTTGACTGGGAATAGCTTCTTCCAGCGCATATCTCAACGGTCGTCGCCCTGCAGGTTCCAACATAACCTTCTTCAACCAATCCGCCCAGCGTCAGTTCAGTCCGCCCGAGCCCTTCTCCGCCGCGCCGGCAGACCAAACCTTCATCCTCCGCATGAAGGCCACAGGCAACAGCTACTCGTGGGCGCTCAACACCACCTCCCTCCCCGCCAACGTAACCGACGAGTCCTCCTCGCCTCCCTCCGAAGTGATCCTCTTCTCCCCGCAGCCCAACATCCGCAACAATGTGACCATCACGACGCAAAACAACACTTGGATCGACTTGGTCTTCGTCACGGCCGCCGCGCCGCAGCCCGCGCACCCAATCCACAAACACGGCAACAAGATGTGGCTGCTCGGCACGGGCACGGGCGAGTGGGTCTGGAGCAGCGTGGCCGAGGCAGCGAGGGCGCTGCCCGCGGGGACGTTCAACTTTGCGGATCCGCCGCGCAGGGACTCATTCGCGACCCTTCCCGCGCTGGCGTCCGATCTGCCACCTGGACGGCGGTGCGGTACCATGTGACCCAGCCCGGCGTGTGGTTTATTCATTGTCATATCCAAAGTCACCTGCTCGGGGGCATGGGCATGGTCATTCAGGACGGGGTGGACAAATGGCCCGTTGTGCCGGATGAGTATCGAGGGTATCGGTGAGAGAGTTTTTGGGGTTAGAGTGTTCGAACTGAGGTGAACCGGTATCATCATAATCGTTCAACGCCTAACTAGACAGTAACTATGTAGTAATGTATACTCACTACCTAGTTTGACCACTTCACCCGATGACGATGATAGTGATCATGAGAGCGATGAGGTGACGGCGAGACTCTGACATGTGAGATGGAGGAGATGAATTTGAAACTTACGGCCACGGAGGAATTCAAGTTGGGGATGAAATTGAGACGCGCCCTGGCGGGAATGCCGTTCATATGAATTTAGTAAAGAGCGAACTCGCGGTCGCACCCGCCGGATTAAGCGCCCCTCGTATAGCGCCCGCGGCTAAATTGCCCCGCTCGCAGCGCGCAGTGCGCCCGCAGCATTAAATAGAGCCCCTCCTCTCCGACCGTGCGGTTTGTTGTATTCTCGACTTCTCTTTCTCCCTCTTTCCCCGATTCCATTTTCCTCCAATTGCGCCAGTCAGTGAGTATCGCCTTCGCTCCTAGCCCACACTCTTATGCTCATTTCGCCAACCTGAATTTGTGGACACCCATGGTCTTCCCGTCTTGTGTCATCCTCGAACCACACGTCTTCCCCCGAGTTACGACGAGTTTAACCTCTCTAGATTGCCCTCTGGTTTCTAAACTAGGCATTTCCAAAAGAAGATGGTTATTATATTTCGATGCCAGGTAAAGATTTCCGAATTCATTCATAGGAATGCCGGTTAGACTGTGATTAACAGGCTGAGCCGGATGGAGGTTTCGGCAACCCTCAGTGGCAGCGAGTAAGCCTGTATCAGCGGGGACTCGCATGAGCCGGCATCGCCCTGTACCGCATTTAACGATGCGGCCCGTCAAGAGCTCCGTCAGAGCTTCGGCATCTCGGCCGACTGCTCGGGGCCGAAAGGAGAGCAACTAACCATTAAACTTTAAATCTCAAACATACTAAGCTGTACCTAGTGTTTGGACCAAGCAAAGTCTTGCCCACGAATATGCCTTGTGTCGTTGCCTTGTAGTCTGTGACCTCCTTCTTTTCCTCTCCATCCTTTTGAGAGTGACAACTTCTTGGATCTTCAGGATCTGAGGTCACACAATCCATTCCCATTTCTAGCAATGGCCTTGGCACCCGAATTGCCAAGGTAGCTACATAGTTCAAGGTTGGGGACGCCGAGAAGGGAGGCACTAGTCACGGCACCGCCGGTGGGTTTGTGTCAGCTCCAGCATGGTAATTCAGGGCAACGTGATCGCGGGTAACAGCAAACGGGAGATCGACAGGAAAAGGTGATAGGAATGAGTTAGGGCGATAGAGCCAGTCGAGAACGAAGAAAAAGCTGCGACTGCAGAAGGGAATCGGCGTACGCAAAAGAATCGCTAAATGGATAGGGCATCAGATTGCGACTCTATTGCTTAGTTGATGGGTTTGCTCAGCCTCGAAGCTCAAGCGAAACTGGACGTTTTCCTGGAAAACGGAATCGAAATGGTGGTGCTTTTCTGCTGGCAGAAAAAGATACGTATCTATTTAAAGCCTTAACTAGGCAAAATGACGCTGGATTTGGGGGAGTTGAGCTAGCAGCCTGAGGTAACAAAAATGCCGTGGTTTCCGAGGGTATGAAACCGCTGGATGCGGCGGCAGATGCACGTGGAATAAGATTACTATGCTTAAGATAGCAAGACTCGCCAGACTCGGAGACAGTGAGGGCTCCGGGAAATTGACGAAAGAACCAAGTTTGACCCTGATGTTGGTAAAAGAGAGGGATGGTTGTGGGAGAGCTCACATGGCATTAGTACCAAGAAGGGGTGGCTTAAGAAGAGGGCGACCTCGTGGCAGCAAAATGTTGATATTAAACCCCCCTACGTCACGAAAGCCCGCCTTGGCCAGACTCATTCATTCATACCACCCAGACCTGGTTGCCATCCCTCAGCTTCTCCACCTCAGCTAAGGCTAGGCCGGATCCGACTCAGGCTCGCAATATTTGAGTGGGGTGGCTAATGGAGATCATCAAGGGGAGTTGGCCTTAAAGTCACCGCTCACCTCCCAGTTCTTGGATTGTAGCCTGAGACCATTTCTCCATTTTTACCATTTCTCGCGTTTTCCAAGAGTCACCGTCTGACTCTGCCACTCTTTTCGTCACTCGTTGAATAGAAATGCGATTCACTGCAGCTGTTGGCGGAGGGCTGCTGCCCTCTGCGGTTGCGGGCGCTGCCGCTTTTCTCGACGTTTGTTCCGTCGATGCGGTCCTTGAGTACTTCAGCTGCCAGAAACCTGTTCCCCATAGATGCGTTGACAGCCTTGTCGAGCAAGCCACGGATTTTTGCAGTAACTATCTGTCCATTGAACCTGTCACCATCTATGCCAGCACCGAAACCCCGGTCGCGACCGAGATTATCAGGGCAACCTTCACGACCAGTGCAACGACAACCAAGGTGACGTGAGTAGTTTCTGCCATGGGCTGGCCCATGGCTAACCATGATACATATTCTAATGGAATGGGGAATAGATTGACCACGGTCGAGACGACCTCAAGCTCCACTGTCTTCATAGTCGAGGATGAGACGGTCACGGCCACTGTCACCGCTGCGGCGGGCGTCCAGAAACGGATTGCCTCGAAGCCGGTCGTTAGTGCCAAGCCCAGCTGCGTCGACCTGATCAAGAAGAATCTGCTCCGGCATCCGGCTTGGAAACTCTCTCGGGCGTGCAGCTGCCTGAACCCAAAGCCCACCACCATCACCATCGGCATGACCACTGCTTCTACGTCAACCACTACCAGCACCCAGACAACCATGGTCATCGTTGTCGTCCCTGAAACCAGCGTGTCGACCGAAGTAACCACCGTCGTTATACCGCAGCCGGTGACGGTGACATCGGTATGCCAGCATCCAACCCCCCCTTTCTCTCGGCGCAACATACTCCTGACTCCTTCCCCCTTGAAAATAACAGACCGCGACCGCAACCACCACGGTCCAGCCCCCGCCCCCGACCTGTGAGCGTTGCGCCTGCAGGTACAATCCCAACGGCGAAGGAATAGGCAACAGGATAGAGACGCCGCCGGCGTCGAGCGCCGAGGAATGCTGCGAGCTGTGCTACGCCAAGCCCAACTGTATCGCATCGGCGTACCCGGGCTCCTGCCAGCATCTCGTCAAGGATTCCGCGCTCGCCGGGGCCGAGACTACTGCGATGTGTCCCCTGGGTGTTGAGAACTACTTCGCCCCCGGAATGGAGAACCCTAGTGGGGTTGTCATGAGGGGGCCCTGCGCTGCGTGAGGGACAGGGAGGTTAGGTACCTAGGGAGGCTGCGGTTGGAAGTTATACCGAATCTAGAACTTGACTGGGATATCCAAGTTACTGTAGGTAGGTACCTTAGGTACTTTACATGAGGGAATAGTCACCCCTACGGGTGACCCAACTTCACGGACTTATATCCCGGCGCAAACAGGTTACAACAGCGTGACGGTGTCCATGCTGTTCAGCTTCCCATACTTGAAGCAGCTTCCCAGTACTCGACTCAAATCAGCATTCCAGACACATAAACCCACCCTCCTGTATATTCCCGCCTCCAAGTCCACCACATCCAGTCCCGACGCAAAGCCGCCCATATTCAACGCAAATCCGGCCCGGCGTCGACACTCCATCTGATCAGGCCGCCATTCCCCGCCTCGCTCCAGGTACCAGAGGTGGTGCTCATCTTGCGGAATGCCAGGTTCGAAAAGCCTGGGGTGCTGACGCTCTTCCAGCGGAACGAAGAGCACCTTGTTGCCATCAACGATGACTGGAATCAACAAACCCTTGAGAATGATTGACCCTCCAAACCCCGTCTGAATGGGAACAACATTTTCGCTCACCAATACAAGGTCCGCAAGGTACTCGTCCACAACGTCTATTACCCTTGTTGGGAGCGGTGGCCGCTCCATGTCCCTGGCGCATTCTGGGTGACTCTTGAGGCACCGGAGAAGCCAGTAAGCCGGCAGGAGCAGTGCACAACGGGAGCCGGCGCTCCCTAATCCCGGCAGGTTCGAACGGAGTTTCAGAAGCTGGAGGAAGTCCGCTGAGAAAAGGGTTGTTAGCACAGCACAAGACATCATCAAACACCATACCAGTCTGGTCGGAAGGTGGTAAACCAAAGGCCTGCCACGTCAATCTGGAACTTTGTAAGCCAATACAAAACTGTCGAACTGGCTCACAGACACCGCCAAAGCTTTGTGATATTAGGTCTTCGATGTACACTCTTCGAGAATTAGAAAGATACCAAACAAACACAGGCACGAACCATCACTATTGTTGTTGTGGGCATGAATCCAGCTGGGGTAGTCGGAGGGCAGAACGATGACCCTTTCTTTGGATCCAAGGTTTGCGTCAAACGGGGGCGGTAACGCGACGACGGGTTGTCTGCAAATCCTACAGCGCCTGAGAAAGCCGTAGCTAAAAGCGTCGGTTATGGGTATCCATCTCGCTATCGTAGCTGACTGCTCTACTCGCCAGGCCTCCTGAGCAGCCGGTTCGGCGCCGGCAGGACGCGCCAGGCACCTTGCACAGAAGGCCGCGGTGCTCGGCTGAGAAAGCTGGGGGTCGAACGATTGAAGGAGAAAAGTCTCCAGGTATTCTATCAGAGCCGCTGGGGACGTCATTTGTGCGATCTGCTGGTCGACGAATTCCGGCGGATATCGCAGCGGACGAGAGTGTCGAGAGGTGGTCCAGGCGGGCCAGAAGCCAAACTCGATCAAGAGCCAAAAGATGTCCTCTGCTCGCTGTCGCACCGCAACCATGGGTGGAGTTTCTCGAATGCTCGATAGCATATTGGATGCTCCGGACTCGAGAAGGAGACGGGTTATATGATAGTTTGCGTTTCTGACAGCGTAGAACAGTGCTGTCCATCCCAGAGTCGGTTTCTCATGCCGGGCCATTCTTGCCCCGAGTCTACGCTCGTGCGTCGATTGGAATGCCCAAGGAGATGGCAAGTCGCACAACTGGCAGGCTGTTCGCGATGGCGGCCGCGTGCAGGAGCGTTTTACCATAAAACGAGGTCGATAGAGGGCTCACCCCTCGTGTCAATTGAGCCTTGACCCGATTCTCGGCGTCGGTAGGATTGTCTTCTAGGAGGATGGCCTTCCAGTTGAAGCTCATGACGGGCAAAATGGAGGAGGCGAATTGTTCAGATCCTCGGTTTGACGATGGGTTAGCGGGCGGATCTGATGCAGTCAAAGTCCGGGGTACCTTACTCTGTACTTGAAGTGCTGATTGACTGAGAGAGATCTATGGAGAGTGGAGAGGCCGAACTGAAACTCGAGGGCTGAACTTTGAAAGCTGCCCAGGTCCAGTGGCGGTGCAGGCTGCAGCTGTGTGGTCTGCCCTACGAAGTGCCTCACCAGCCCCACTTTTACTCTTGCATAATGTAGGTTTGAAAAAGGGGTTGCAGTGCTGGCACCAATCAACCACCGAGGTCCGTTGAATGCAGCCATCAAGGCGGCTTCGTTCCGACACCTGTAACATATTACGAGGTCTTTGCCGCACTGGAGTAAAGCTGAGTCGTCCAAGTACACGGCCGAATCATTCCATCGTAGGACAGGATCATTCTAATGCTTGTCTCCATGTCGAAAACCAGCTCCCTGCAGAAACCTAACAGAATGGGGTTTGATTACCAATGTGCAGTGGAGAAGGTGCTGTGTCTTTGCCGATGGGATCAATCCGGTAGACGAAGGGATCCGTGGGAGGAGAGGGCGGACCCCAACTTGGCAAAGGCTCGGGCAGTTCAGCTGAAGTCGTCACGGTTGATGATATTTCGAGCGCGACAATCAGCTGGGAGTAGAGAATGGGCGTGGCAAGGCGATGGAAGCGACGGTACACCAGCGTCATGGCGCGTCGGTCGGCATAGAGCGTATAGAATTCGGCACTATCAATGTTATCAGGCTATTCCGCGGCTGCCGAGATGATGCCGTCCAGCAGCTCATCATGAAGCTGGAGGATGTGGCCGGGCGGCGATCCCGCTTCCGCGAAACCAAGATCTTGGATTTGGAAGTCACCGTAGGCATCGACATGTCCGGAATGTCGATTCGCATGGTGCTGGTGTAAAACGGATCTTGAATGACTGGTACGAGACTGCGGGTTTTGAAGCAAGGTAAGGAAATGTCGGTAACTATTCGGGAAGAGAGATCGATTGCTGCCAGAGGAGGAAGGAGAAAGAAAAAAAGAAAAACAACAAAGAACGTCAAGTGCTGTTTGCCTCGCACTTTCCAAAAGCAATCAAGATCATGCTTTGCACTCAATTCCATCGAATCCATCCCAACACTTTCTGCTACCTGGTATTGCTTGACTGCCTTGCTAAGTGCTCGCCTTTGCCATTATTGCGTTTCCTGCACCCACCCGATTTTCCTTGGAAGGCAACAAGTCATGCGACAAATACCCAGGTGATGACCAAGAGACGGACAAGTCCCATAATCATTGTACAAGTACAATAACCCCATTTCCTCTTCAATTCTGACAGACAAGAAGAAATATATGAGTGTTGAAGTTGTAGTAACAAATTAACAACAGAGAATAACCGGGAACCAGTTGCCTGTATCCAAGCCGAGGGCAATCAAGGCAGGAAGATACAACCCCTTAACTCCCGATTCAATCCGGAAACATTATTTCTGTGCCCACCGTGGCCACTGTTTCTCAAGCCTACGTCCAATGCCGCTCAGTTTGGCAGCCTTGCTGCATTGGCGAACCCTACCAGTCTCACAGGCTGCAACGCCGCCAGCTTCACCACCTTCTCCTCGGCCGCCGGGTCCAATCGAGCCTCCCCCGCCCGAACAGCATTAGCCCGGGGCCGGATCTCCACGCCGCAGGGATAGAGGTGCTCAATCTCGACGTCGTCGCCGAAGTCAAACAGGTCCGACCTCTCGCGGAAGCACCACGGCCTGCCGTCCTTGAAGACCATATCGTGCGTCTCGCGCACGTCCTTGGCGTGCACGGAGCGGTATCCCCCGTCCAGCGCCACGGCGACGGAGCTGTGCCAGGGGGTGCGGGGAAACCCCCTGGAGTTGCTCTTCTCGACGAGGAGCGGCACCGACAGCTTGACGGCGCCGCTGGACGGGTGGATGGACAGGCGCACGTAGTCCGGACACTTGGCCTGGATGATCTTGGTGAAGGCCTCGGCGCGCATCATCATCTTCATGGCGACCTCCTTGACGATGCGGCGGTAGTGCTGGCCGGACCGCGCGTGTGCCGCCACGGGCGAGTGCCGGAGGTCCGTCTCGAGGAAGCGGATGAAGCCGCGGTAGGTCAGGAGCGTGTCGTTGTCCGTCTCGATCATGTGCCGCACCTCCTTGTCTGACCCGCCAAACTGGGATTCGAGCTCGGCGCGGCTCTTGGCCACGAGGGAGAGGTACTGGTCTTTGGTGAGGGGGGTTCTGGGATCGGTGTGGCCGAGGAAGTCCATGACGCGCAGCATCTTGATCCCCTTGAAGCCCTTTTTGGCTGCCATGTCCAGGAGGGCAACGCTGTACTCCCAGGTGTCCTCGTCTGAAATGCCGACGACGTCTGGTTTAGCACGATGTTGTCAGCGATGCAAGTGTCAATTGAAAAAGGTAAAAGAGAGCATACCGTTGAAAGCCAGACCATCAGTGGCAATGTGGATTTCGGCACCGTGCTCGTACACTTTCCCAATATCCACGCAAATGGCGTTGAGTCTGGCGAGAGCGAGCTCCTCTCCGAGATCAGGGAGAGCGCCAGTCACCTTGTCAACACGGTTGACGCTCTTCCACGGGAAGGAGGGAAGAATCATCTTGATGGACTGCTGGCTCCTGACATACTGTTCGACCGGGGGGAGGAACTTTTCGCGTCCGAGCCACTTGTGGTTGTCGCCGCCATCAGCCTCGGTGTGTTTCCCGTAGCTTTGGAGGACGTCCAAAATCTTGTGAGCCACAATATGCGGGGCCGGTGATGCGAAGGGTGTCTGGACTGCCAAAAGGGGCAAGGGTTTCACTTCGTCAGGTTCGGCCACAATGGTGCTGTCTGCATCTCGATGGTTAGCACGAGGTATCCATACTGCAGGGCTTCCGGTAAGATATTGACGTACTGAAGATGGCCGCTGGCGCTGTCTTCTCCTGTAGCACATCTTCGGCTAAGGTCTGAACAGCCAGTAGGATCGAGTCCTTGCGCTTTACGGGAACAACATCGGCGGTTGACTTTCTTCGGGTGGGAGCAGGTGCGGTAGGCCGAATGGTCAGGGTCAATGTGGCGAGAATGGCCTTCTTCCAGTTCAGAAGAGCCTGGATTTGGAGCTCCAACTCGGAAAGCCGCTTTTCATAGGAGAGCTGCTTGTCCAGGCTCATCCGGGACTCGGTCCCAATAGGGGAGCTGGGCATCATGAGCTCCATTTTCAGGGTGTTGGTAAGAAATGCAAGAGTAAAGCAAGCAAATATTATGTGTTTGGGATTGGAATGACCCGAGAGAAGGAAGACTTGGAGATCTGCAAAAAGATGACTTTGGGAACAGAGTGGATTCCAGACTCGGTTGGCTTATGTTGTGAGTGTCTTGTGGGTTCTCTTCCAGTGCCAAACTGTTGTCATCCTTATACCTCTTATACTTTGTGCACTAGGAGACGATCCCCGACATCTTGGACGCAGCCGTTGATCTCGGCCCTCGGACCCCTCTCAACAGCCTACAGCAGAAGTGGTTTACCCGTTGACAGTAACACGACACAAAGACCCGTCAGATGCACAGCCAGCACCTTGCGCGAGGGCTGCAAGGTGATCGAGGTGCTGATTCAAGCGAACGAAGCCGACTGTTCCGCAAATTAGCGGTGTCAACAAGCGCGCCCTCGAAACTTCCATGTCAAGTTGCCAGCCTATAGGCTTGGATTCGGAGGTGGTTGTGACAGAGTTGACTGGGACTTGCATCTAGGTAACCTCTTACAGAAGGCATCACGGTAAGTTCCGCATGGATGCAGCCTTTGCGGAGATAGCTAATTAATTGGATGTGATATTTTGGGTGTGCTGTAACCTGTCGGCTGGCTGCAAGGGCACGGTGGCTTGGGCAAGCCACCTTCCCGTCACCCCGTGTTGACGGTCGCTGCCCGACTCAGGAGATCTCCTTCTCAGATCTTCGTCACGATTCTTCCAGCGGACCAGTTGTGTCTCGGTTTCCTTACCGAATTGGTTCTGAGTTGAGTTGGGCTTTCTCTCCGACTCATGCCGGCGAGCCGCCTCACCGGTGAGGCTGAGAAATGACGAACAAAGACTCGGAACCTGTGGTACCGCAGAATCGCTGGCGCGGTCAGACTTAGCGAGGCGCTGTTGTCGCCCAGTTGATGTCGAACTTCAAGCGAATCCTTATTTGAGTTTTTAGCGAATCTGGTGAGCTCGGCCTCATTCTCTCTCCATCCCATCATCCAGTGCATGGCATGATGCCGGATGCCCCTGAGCTCGTCTGGTAAACGCCAATCAACCCATCACCCTCCTTCATTCAGGCCATAGTCCTTAAGAGGCCGCTGCTCAATTACCAGACGGCATCAAATCCATCATGGACAACGACCACGCCCCTCACTTCGAACAAGGATACCTCACAAGAGAAGGAGTCTACTCTTCCAGTCGAGTTTGGCATCTCCAGAACGGCATGCCCATCTCAGAGAGCAGCGAAAATGTCAACTATCTCGGAATTTTCGATTTCGAGTTGAGTCCAGACGACTACTGCACCGGCCAGAAATCCTTTGAGATTGCCGGGGCCTCCACCAATGACTTGGGCTGGCCTGCAACATCTGACCACGACGATGCATGCTCGTCACCTTTCACCCCAGTTCCCGTCTATGGGACGTACCCAACGAAAACTAGCCGTGTTCACGCCCTAGTTCTCGACGAAGTCTCGCTCGGCGATGCGCCATTCCACCACTATAACCGCAGCCACATATCCATGGCAGTCTCGGACGTCTCCCATCCCAATCAGCAGCACCAGATACACGCCGATGGTTCACACTTGCCGCTTCCTCTTGACGAGGAAAAGGCGAAACTCGTCTGGTCTGTACAAGACGGACCAGATGGAGGGCGCCGGGGCTGGATTCAAGTCGTGGCCGCATTCCTTCTCGTGCTGGACGGCTTCGGCTTCATCACGGCCTTTGGCGTCTTCCAAGCCTACTACGTCAAGCTCCTGCCACAGTCGCCGTCCGAAATTTCGTGGATCGGGTCGGTGCAAATCTTTCTTCTCTTCCTTCTCGGAACCATCAGCGGCCGAGCCATCGACGCGGGCCACTTCCGCAGCACCGTCCTTCTGGGATTCGTGTTCCAGCTCGGCGGCGTCTTTGGGGCCTCCTTCTCCTCCCAATATTGGCAATTCCTCCTCTCCCAGGGCATCGCCACAGGCATCGGTAACGGCCTGCATTTCACGGCCCTGGTCTGGCTCGTCTCGCAGTACTTTACCAAGCGGCGCGGGCTGGCGCTGGGGTTCAGCTCCTGCGGCGCGCCCATCGGCGCCGTGGTCTTCACCGTCATTGCCCGCGAGCTGATTCCGAGAGTGGGCATCCAGTGGACGCTCCGCGTCATGGGCTTCATCATTCTCAGCAACAGCATCGCGATATACCTCCTTGCGCGGCCGAAGAAGGCGACGCGCAAGTCGGGGCCGTTCCTAGAGCTTTCGGCCTTCCGCGAGCCGCCGTACCTCTTCTTCTGCATCGGCATGTTCTTTGCCATGTTGGGCGTCTATTTTGCCTACTACTATGTACGTGACCCCACCCCTTCCAGCCCGACATACCCATGTAATTTATCTAACACCATTTACAGGTCCCCCTCTTTGGTCGCAACGAGCTCGGCCTCGGCGACGACGGCGCCCTGCTCATCCTCATCATCATGTCAGCCGTCGGCATCACGGGCCGCCTGATCCCGCCCTTCCTGGCGGACCGTTTCTTCAAACCGCTACGCACTCTGGTGGCGTCTCTGCTGCTCAGCAGCCTCAACGTGTTCGCCTGGACGGCCGTGAGCTCCACGGCAGGGCTCACGGCCTGGGTTGTCGCCTATGCGTTCACCGCCAACGCGGTGCAGACGCTGTTTACGGCCTCGATGGGCGAAGTCACGTCCGACATGACCAAGCTCGGCGTACGGATCGGCATGATCTTTACGCTCATCAGTCTTGCGTGCCTGGCCGGCCCGCCCATCGGCGGGTGTCTGGTACAGTATGGGAACGGGGATTTTCTGTATGCACAGATCTTTGCCGCGACGTGCATGCTTGTGGGTGGGTTGCTTGTTGCTGTTGCAAAGGTGAAGCAGGTTGGTTGGAAGGGTGTCTGGCGCATGGTATGAGTTGCTTTGGGTGTAGCTTTTGGCTTTTGGAGGTGACAGGCTGGTTACGGCCTTGCCCCTGTTGTTGGATCTGCATTTTATGTATGAATTACGACCTGGCGTTTGGGGCTTCTTTCAGGTATAAAGCACATATCGGAGCGATACAAAAGATGGGGACTCGATCTGCTGGGTGAGGTTACTGCACTGTATCGTTTCAGGTATATATCTACGGACTTCATCGATCATATGGCCCAATTCTACTTCAGAGCACAAAGTAAGGTAACGTAGCCTTAGAACATGGACGTGCCGAGGTCCACAATTTCCTGGTCAGGCTCACCCCGATTCCTGCGTCTCCATTCGCAAAGGTACCTACCTACCTTACTACCGGTATGTTTGCATAAAAATCCTCGCTTGGTGCGAATGCACGACACTCTGGCGCCCGCTTACCTATTCCGGGTACTAGAGGGCAAGCTCGAGTTCGACGCAAGGCTCAAGTTCACCAAAGACGCTCACAGATGATTCAGAGAAAAAGTCGTTCCGACAATTTGCGTCTGACACAGCCCGGGAGAGTCCGAGAAGCGGCATTGGCGCTCCGTGTACCTGTTGTACACGTGTAGACCCCTTTCACAGATCAGCCGCACTGCGGTAACGCGTCTCATTCGTCGTTGGGGGTGAGGCGAAGTAATTATCGGAGTTGACCCCTGACGTGCGCCTGTCGGCCCTACCGATCCCGGGAAATCATGTTCCGGATGGTAGGGCTGAGCTGGGGAATCGTATTCACCAGATCTGGCTAGCTCGCCGTGCTACACTCGATCGGTAAAGAAAAGCTCAGGTATGAGGTAGGTTCAGGAAACGCCACAAATCGTCGTGGACGTTGATTTGTCCTCTAACAAGCCACAAAGCCCTACTGCTTTCAATGCGTCTCGCTTGAGACCACCAAAATAGGTAGAGGCTCCTTGAAGGCCTCGGAGCGTTCGCTTATGGCGTTGCGTCGGAAGGCAGTGCGACGCATGTTTACCTGATTAAAGCGGTTGACTGCTGAATTGTGACTCGCGGGCAAGCCAAAAGCGTGCCTGGCGCTGGAGGAAAGGTGAGCGGCGCTGGCTGTGCTGTGGGCTGGGGTTGCTGAGCACTTCAGGTTCTGCACCAGTGCACTCAGGGATGCCAGGCGCCATGCAAAGAATTATAATTGACTGTCAGCACAGCGCCGTCTACGAGCATATATGAACATGCCATCTGTGTTTCTGTGAATTTCTGGCTTTAGTGAATGCAGATTCAAAGCCAGCCACCTACCCCTTACAGTAACCTTTATCGTTTCTACCATAATTTCCTAACAGACAAGCCGCTTTCCCGAGATTGCCCCCCCTTACCTTAGCTTACGTACCAGCAACATGAAGCCGACGCTCGTGTCAGCGACGATCAGGTACGATCTTGAGTTCAGTAAAAGTTTGAAATCAAGCCAGCTGACGCATGCGTGGTGTTGGTACAGCGTCGTCATCGGGCTCTCGCAGTCCGCGTATGCGTACCCCCCTGGCCCGTACCTTCTCTCATATGTCGGTGCCAATGGCAAAGGCCCAGGAAGCCCTCCCTGGGGCCGTCGCACAGTCCACTCAGATCCCGAGGACGCGCCAAAAACTGGAGCCGTACGCAAGTACGACTGGATCATCCAAAGGACTACGTTGGCACCTGATGGTTTCGGTGAGTTCTTCGATTCAACCCCCTTAAGGTGTGGTTTCACATCGGGCTAACTCAACTCCTCTTACAGAGCAGAGCCTCCTGACCGTGAACGGCCAGTTTCCCGGTCCTCTCGTAGAGGCCAACTGGGGCGACGTAGTGGAGGTTACAGTTCATAACAACATCACTGGGCCGGAGGAGGGCACAGCAATCCATTGGCACGGGTGAGTCCACTCGTGATGCCTGAGTTGTATGTGCGGAAGGTACTAACATCCGCCGTAGCATCCACCATGAAGGTTCACCATGGATGGATGGCGTTTCCGGCGTTACTCAATGCCCCATCGCTCCTGGAGAGAGCTTTACCTACAGATGGCGAGCAACCACCCATGGAGCCAGCTGGTGGCATGGGCACCACGCATTGCAATACGGGGGTGGCCTCTGGGGACCCATTGTCATCCACGGACCGTCGCAGAAGTACGACGTCGACCTGGGGCCCGTCACTCTTTCTGACTACTACCATATGCCCTACGAGCAAGTTGCCAAGAATGCCATCTCCAACAGCACTGACTTCAAGGTGTGGGTGCCTCACTCGGATAACCACCTGATCAACGGAAAGAACAACTACAACTGCTCCCTGTCGACCACCAACCACAAGTGCGACAGCAACGCCGAACGCGCCCAATTCAGTTTCCAGGCAGGAAAGGTCCATAGGCTTCGGCTCATCAACACCGGCGTGCAAGCCCTGCAGATCTTCTCCATCGATAACCACAAGCTCCAGGTGACCTCGATGGACTGGACACCGGTAGAGCCGTACGAAGTGGATTATGTCGCGCTCGGCGTTGGCCAGAGGGCCGAAGTGCTCGTCCATGCGACCGGAGACCCCAAGGCAGCCTACTACATGCGCACGAAAGGCGGCACCCAGTGCGCCACCACCTTCGTCAACGAGACGCTGGCTACCGTTTACTACGACCAAGCCCCTGCCGGTGCCGTCCCGGTCCCCAACCCGTACACTATTCCCGACTTCACCTGTGGCAATGTGAGTGGTGGCTACCTCTTTCCTATTTGGGTAAACGACCGGAAAACAGCTAACCATAGCCCGCCCCTTCCTTGCAGCTTGTTCTGCCCAAGGTCAAGCCCCTCTTCAAGAAACCACTGGCCAAGCCAGACATCACCCTCTACTACAACGTAACCTTCGGCGCCAACGCGACGGGGAATCGCCAATGGTACCAAAACAACGTGACCTTCCAGGCCGACTGGAGCCGTCCCCTGCTGTTGGAAGCGGCCGACGGCAACGCGGCGTACCTCTCGGCGCCGCAGCATGTCACGGCCAGCATCCCCGAGAAGGCTCGCCACGTCCGCGTCGTCATCAACAACACCTTCTCAATCCACCCCTTCCACCTGCACGGCGGCAACTTCCAGATCGTCAGTGAAGGCGACGGCCCCTGGAACGGGACCGTCATCAATCCGGAAAACCCGGCCCGCGCCGACACGGAGCTTCTCCGCCGGTCGGGACACCTCGTCGTGCAGTTCGAGGCCACCAACCCGGGCGTCTGGGGCTTCCACTGCCATACCGCCTGGCACGCGAGCGTCGGGCTGTACATAAACTTCTTGGTGAAGCCAAAGGCGGTTCGGAAGGCGGGGATCCCACAGGAGATGCACGATATGTGCGCCGCGTGGGAGGCGTACAAGAGCTCTGGAGGCGAGAATGCGCATCCGTTTGATAGCGGTTTGTGAATAGGCGGGCTTCTTGTTTGAATAGAAGGGAGTATGAATTTGTATAGTATTCGCCGGAGGATAACTTGAAGGGATAGTCATGGTGATGGTGTACGGCGTGGATGGCGTCAACCTGGGTTCTCTGTCAACAGTTAGATGTCTAACTACACACATTATAATACCTTGCATATCTTAGTAAGAATTTCAGATTTCCTCCCAGACTTGATGATACTGCGGCTTTTAACGAGCTTTGGACCCGAGTTACATCAATGCGGGTCAGTGTACGACTTGCGGTCACAACGATGAGAGTGCGGTGTTCTTGTCGTACGTTATGGGGGCCTGCGGTGATCAACGTTTATACGGTGAAGTTGGCTTGGCATGGCTCGATCCGTCTCTTTCTTTACCAACTGTTGGAAAGTCGTGGCACTGGAAACTCAGAAGCTCGGCTGCTGATGCCCTACTGTTAGACCGACAGGCGATCAGGGAGATAGAGCTAATCGAATGTAAAGGGTGACCAAGTTCTGGGCAACGAGCTAACTAATAAGTTCGAGACGGCTCCGACCCGGTTGAGAAGAGAGGAGGGCTAAGGAACTATCTTCATTTATCACCACCAATCACACACGGGGGCAATACCAACATGCTAACCTGGCGGGCCTAACAGGGCTCCCCCTTTGGTCAGAAAAAGGCACAACAAACATGAACAATATGTCCACACCCTGCCGTCGCAGACGATTTTGAAAGTCAAATATTTACAGATAGAGGGGTTAAAAACAGCAGGGAGGAGCAGCCAGATACAGTTCAAATTGCCATTAGTATTCTACTTTACTACACTGCGGAGTTACACGCCTGCCTGCCTGTTGGCCCCCAGCCGTTTGCAGAACTGGTTTAGAGAGCAGCCGGTCTGCTGCTGCTGCATATTGACCATGTACATCGCCGCCTGCTCACTGACCCGCCGCGCCGGCGCGATACGCCGGATCTCCCTGAATACCTCTAGCTGCATCGAGAACCACTGCAGTTCGCCCCGCCGCCCAGCCCATCAGCGGTTGCCCCATTTGCGGTCGAGAGCTGCAATGGCCGGCCGGCCCGACAGGCCAACAGTCCACTCCCGCCACAGGCCCTCAACCGTCTTGATCGCCCGGCACATTGAGTACTGCGGCGGCTGCAACTCTGGGTCTGGGTTGGTGTCCGGCCGCAGTTCGGGCGCAGGAGTGTGAGTGTCGTACGACCCCGCTGGGAAGCGGCCCGGCACTGGGCTGGGGCTTGTTGAACGGCTCGCGTTTATACTCGACTGGGCAGACGTATACCGGCTTCCCCTCCTCTCTTCTACCGGCAGTAGAATTGCTGCGGCGGCGGCCTGCGAGACAGCTGCCTTCACTTCGAAAGTAAATCCTGCAGTCAGTAATGTCTGTAGCTGCGCGGTTTGCGCCGCTGTTGCGGCCAAGAGTTCGTTTTTGAGCTCGGCCGCCCTAGCCTCGTTACGCGCGTCGATGGATTTCAGGTAGTCGGCCAAGACTGGCATTGCCTGTACTAGTATAGACTGGCTGGCTCGGCCGTTCCTCCTCCTGAATAGAGGCCAAGATCTGCTGTGCAAATGGCGGCCACGCTTCGTGCTGGAAGACCGGGTGATTTCACACCGAGTTGCCAGGGAACTGCGGCATAAGAACAGCTGCGTCTTGTAGGATCACCTCGCGGAGGTAGAAAAGCAGGTTCGTCAAGCCCATTGCCGCAAGGTCGTTTATCTGGTCGTCGCTACGGCCAAACCGGTCTTTCCAACGCTCTAAGCTTGGCCAGATCATCGAGAGCAGGGCCTCCGGCGGCGTAATAGCGGCGCGGCGGATCTCAAAGCAGCCCATCTGCGGAGGGTGGCCGGCCATCGTACGCATAAACTTGCGCGGCAGAGAATTGAGATAACAGACGACCATCTGCTCCTGGTTCCAACGGCCGGCGCGACGGATTTGGTCCTCGCTAACCCCTTTTAGCTCGGCTGTCTTTGCCCCTGAACTGCGGCCGATGTGTGTCTTTTACTGAGAAGTAACGCCGGCGTATGTGAAGGCCTTGACAATCCAGTCGCGCTGCGTGTTATAAGACAGCGAGGCTGCCCGGTCAGCGCCGTCGCCGTTGCTTTTTAGCAGCCGAATGTCGTACCACGCAGGGCGCTGGCTGAAGTCCGGGAACGGCTCGTTACTCAAGTCCCAACGGCATAGGAGGTAGAACGCAAGGCCGCTGAGTAGGCAGATATGTGGCCGCCTATTCCGTAGGGCGCCAGCGGTCTCGAGACGGCCATGTTGGTTCTGTTTCCCGGCGCGCGTTGTAAAAATTAGCGGCATACACCGAGTCGGGCCTTCACCGGTGAACTCGAAGGTAAACAGGTCCGAAAGCTCGGCGTTGCGCCGGTCGCCGCCACGCGCAAGCATATAATGGCCGAGCAGCATGTCAACAAGGGTCCGAAGGTGGCACTCTGGCGAGCTAGCGCCGCGCGCCCACAGTTCACGGCAAACGCTTTCAAATTTCTGCTCGGTATAGCCGTCTAGCAAGGTGTCGCGGCCTTTATCGGCGTAATTGGCCTTGTCCCGTTGCGCATCGCGCCGCTGCAAAGTCTTGAGGTACTCCCGGACGTTATCCTCGCGGGGTGAAGGGTGGGCATTGATTCCGAGCGCCTTCTGCGTACGGTAGAGGTCCGTAAGGGCAGTGATGTAGCAACGAACGGAGCGCCAGGCGAGCCGTGTGTTCTCTTGCGGTACGCCATCGTCGACCTTCGGGCTCTTCGCCTTGAGCGGCCGGTTGGCGACGTCTTCCACCAGAAAAGGAGGAGTTTGTCCTCCTGAAGTGTCCGTACCTCGGCCTCGAAAAGGATAACCCGATAGGAAACCGCTTGCATTCCCTTCGAAAGCTGGTCGACAGCAGCTAAAATCGGAGTTGGAGAGCTTCCCTGGTGTCTCACAATCTGATCCTTGATAAGGGTAGACTGCGAAAAGGCCTCGTTGGTAGTTTGGGGCGTCTTGGAGACCCATGGTGTTTGTGGTTCATAAGGGGTCCCAGGGGGTGTTGGCGTCCGCAACTTGACATCCAGCTTCGAAAG